TCATTATTGAGAGCAAAAGCACTAAATCCATTATTGAATCATATACAAGAGCATCTAGTGTTTAATATTTTCTCTACATTAACTTTTGAGAGTTAGATCATTAGAGAGTTTTGATCTTGTAATTGAGTCTTTGGCAAAGAGGCTAAAGGCTGGGTGAGTGTTTGTGAGTTCAAACACGTTTAGAACTTACGAGGGTAAGTTGAGAGCATACTCGGAGTAGAGTGTGGGGTTTGCTGGTTCCCGGAGTAGGGAACAGCAGAGTGTTCTTTGTCTTTGTTATTCGGAGTAGATTAATAAAGGACTTAGGATAGGAGGACGTAGGCCAGAGTTGGCTGAACCTCGTTAAATTTGTTGTGTTCTTTATTGCTTTATTATATTCCGCTGCATAAGGGAACCAGCACAACTGGTCCCTTAACCATAATTCGAAAAGAAGCAAAAATTGCCAATGATTACTTAACACTCAATTCACCCCCCCCCCTCTTGAGTGCCCATAGAACCTTCACCGCCAAGTCGGCTTTCCTCAAGCTTGGAAAGCATTATCGGTGGATTTTTCTTCAAGTATAGAAAACCGTCAAATTCCTTTGTCGGCTTTCCTCAAGTATGGAAGGCATTATCGGTGGAATTCTTCAAGCATAGAATGAGACCAAATTCGTTCGTCGACTTTCCTCAGGCATGGAAGGTATTATCCGGTAGCTTTCTTCAGGCTTAGAAAACTGCCAAACTCTTCAGTTGGCTTTCCTCAAACATGGAAAGCGTTTCAACCAATGTCACTCGATAGATTCCTTCAAGCTTAAGAAGCTGCCAAACTCGTTTGTCACCGACACACTGGTGCCAGATACGTATTCTATCTCGTTACTCTTTTATCTGTGGAATTAACATTTTTCTGCAGGTATCGGCGTATACAGAATGATTTAGGATCGCAGAGCATCTTAAATCATTCTCCGTCCCTATCGACTACTTTGACTATCGTTTTCGAAACTAACGTTTCTACAAACTCAGTCAAAGTGGGGGCTTCTGTAGACACCTAAAAATGTCTCCCCAAAACCAAACCCAATGATAAATAACCTTTCACCGCCTCTATTGGTCGGGTTTAGTATTTAATCCCGAGAGTGCTTAAAAAATCGTATTTTATTAAATTCTTATTTTTAAAAGGTCCATGGATTAGTCTTGGTATTTGGTAAAAGCATAGTTTTAATTTTAGCCCAAGCTTGTTAATTAATTTTAAGCCCAAACCTTTTATTTTATTATTTTATTATTTATTTTTGGCCCAAATATTTTATTTATTTTTATTTCATTATTTTCTTATTTTAGCCCGAATAATAAAAGTCAGGAAAAAGCCCGAAATTATCAATCGGCACTTAAAAAGTCGAAAGAAATTAGGGTTAAAAATGAATTTAGACGGAAAAATGGACTGGAACTGACCGTGTCACGGTATAGCCTGACCGTGTCACGGAAACCCTTCCCGTCTGACGGGGGGACTTCCCGTGACACGGGAGGTCTGCCGTGCCACGGGATGTTCCGTGTCCTTTTCGCGTAAACCCTTAACGCGTTTTTCATTCCGTTTTCTGAAAATTTCCCGCGTCGCTCCAAAACTGTACAGTGTCACGGGAAAGTGTACCGTCTGACGGTACAGTCTGACCGTGTCACGGTATACTTTTTTAGGTTTTTTTTTTATCATTTTAGGGTTCCGTGTGCTCCTTCAGCACATTTTCCCTATAAATACCCCCTCATTTCTGATGTACGGGGCAACTAGAATTTGATGATTCTTATTTTCTCTCTTCTATGCTATTAACCTAAACACTAGCCTACCCTTTTCACTTCAAAATTCCTTCTTCAAGCACTCAATGGAGTCCATATTTCACTCGAGGTTCTGTCCTTAAGCCAAGGCGTGAAAGGTAGAATCGTTTGAGGGTTTGGCCCCAAAATCAACTTTATTTTATTTAATTTAATTTAGTTATTGTTTTATTATTTCCTTGAAGTTACTAACTCGTTTATTATTTTGTAGTTGCAAGCAAACAGATTCAAAGTAAGGATCATGCTCTTTTTATTATTATTTTCTAACGATTTTTTTTATGTTGTTAGAATTGTGATTAAATTGGTTTTTATGTTAATGTTGGTTCTATTATTTATTTTAGTCACCATATTGCATGTTTAAGGGAATATGTAATTGAAAATCACGCCTAAATAAGATAATTTGGACAACCGGTTTAGGTTCCTTTTTAATTTTATTATTAATTGAAGTGATCACCAAATTTTTAGAATTATGTGTGCATTAATTTTAAACCAATTTAGCTAAATAATAGTTTGGAGCGAATTGAATATTTTGTTTGTATGCCTTTGAGATCACAGGAATGCTCTTCAATTTAAGAATCGAGTAGAGGCCAATACGGGCGAATGTGACTCCATGACTCACTTCGTACCATCATCCCCGATCCTCCTTTCGTTGTTCCGAACCATATGGAGTTAGTAATCTCATGGATTATGAATGGGGTGTAACCTTCACGGGTCAATTGTTGTTGCCTTCGTTGTCCCTTATCGTGATTGCCTTTTATGATCCGTGAACGATTTACAAGTTCCTTAAAAACTTGTTGGCGGCTCCCTACTTTATTTGTCCCTAATCGTTGTCCCTAATCGTAATGTCAATTCTCACTTCCTATGAGTGCCAAGCATGTTCACACATGCTTTTAACGTAGGCGCACTTCAAACGACGCCTACAGGTGTGCTAATAGGACAAACAATCTATATATAGATGGAGTTAATTCCTTTCTTCAATTTGCTTTTGGTGACTTAGAAACAAATAGTGATTTAGGAGAGGAGGAAAAGAAGGTACCTTGCCCTGGTAATCGATGCAACAATGGTCCACATAAAACAAGAGACGAAATTTACACCGACTTGATAGTGAATGGAATCGTGCAAGGTTATGTTCGTTGGATCTATCATGGAGAATTCAAACCCCCACAAAAGAAAAGTAGAAATGATTTGGGAGATAGTGCTCATGATGATATATTTAGAATGATCCATGACAGGTTTAGTCCCGGAGTTTCTAATAATGATGACATAGATGACATGTTAGATGAGGAGCAACAGCCTAAGGAGTTTGATCAACCTAGATATAAAAAGGATACAAAAGAGGCAAAAATGTTTGAAAATTTGATGAGAGATGCTCAACAAACTTTATACCCTGGGTATAATGAATTTTCTAAATTGTCATTCATTTTGAAGTTATTCCAAATCAAATGTATGGATGGCATGACTAATAAAGCTTTTACTAGTATGCTTCATATGTTCTGAAATGCTTTGCCTAAAGTTGCTGATTTGCCATCAAATTATTATGAAGCACATAAGATAATTACTAATCTTGGTTTCGATTATGAAAAAATAGAAGCATGTTAAAATGATTGTATGCTATTTTGGAAAGAGAATGCTAACCTTGAAAAGTGTTCCATATACGATACTAAGCGTGATAAAGCTTCTCCTAAAGTGTTACGCTATTTCCCACTAACTTTGAGGTTGCAAAGGCTATTCATGTCGTCCAAAACAGCAAATGAGATGAGGTGGCACTCTGATAAACGAGAAGATGACGGAGTACTTAGATACCCAGCAGATAGTGAAGCTTGGAAGCATTTAGATAAAGAATATCCTACTTTTTCTGCAGAGACTCATAACATTAGGTTGGGTTTAGCAAGTGATAGATTCAATCCATTTGGCGGGCTTAGAAGTGACTATAATATATGGCCAGTCGTGGTTGTTGTGTACAATCTCCCTCCATTGATGTGTATGAAACAACCTTACACAATATTATCTTTGTTAATTCCAGGGAAAAGTGGACCGGGAAATAACATTGATGTGGATTTGCAACCATTAATCGAGGAGTTAAAAGAATTGTGGGAAACTGGAGGTCAGACTTATGATGCTTCAAGTAATGAGTACTTTCAAATGCGTGCTTCATTGTTATGGACCATAAATGATTTTCCTGCGTATGCAAACTTATCAGGGTGGTCTACCAAAGGCTATAAAGCATGTCCTCATTGTATGAAAGAAACTAGCTCTGCTCGGCTACCAAATTAGGGGAAATGTTGTTACATGGACAATCGTCAATTTCTACCTACCGATCATAAATGGAGAGATAATAAATCCTTTAATGGGAAAGTAGAAAAAAGAGGTCCTCCTAGGAAATTATCTTCCAATGAGATTTTAGAACAACTAAAGGACCTTGAAGGCATGAAATTTGGTAAAACAATGAATTGCCAAAGAGGGATGATAATTGGAAGAAGAAAAGCAATTTTTTTGAATTGCCATATTAGAGTAACCTCTTACTTCGTCACAATCTTGATGTCATGCATATTGAAAAAAATGTGCTTGACAATATTCTTGGTACATTGCTAGATATTGATGGGAAGTCAAAAGACAATATAAAGGCTAGACATGATTTAAAGCATTTGAAGGTTATGAAACATCTTGCTCCTACATTATGAGATGGAAAGTGGCATATTCCTCCGGCACTATACACCTTGTCTAAGGCACAAAAGGAAAAAGTGTGTAAGTTTTTAGAGAATTTAAAGGTTCCCGATGGATATTCTTCTAACAGCTCTAAACGCATAAACCTCGATAAGCGTAAAATTTATGGTCTAAAGACCCATGATTGTTATGTGCTTATGGAACAACTATTGCCACTTGCAATTCGTTGGGTGTCCATACCCAAAGTGTACGATGTAATAGTGAAGTTGAGTACATTTTTCAAGGAACTCATCACTTCAGTAAAGACTTGTTTTTATTCTATACGTGTAAACAGAAAAAGATGAAGAAATTGGAGAAACAAGGGAGAATAATAACACCGCTGAGGGGGGCTATGATGAGGAAGGACGACAGATTGGTCAACCACTTGAACTTGAAGATGCATCTTTGGATACTGAACCATTGAACGACAAGGAACTCATAACTGTACCAGAGAATGAGGACCTTAACATTTCATCAGGTTTGACTTTATTATTCCTTAAAACATATATATATGACAATATGCTTCAAGTCATGTCAATTCACTACCCAGTGAGCTTATGCTTGATACAGGTGCTGCAAAAAAAAAAAAAGAGGAACAATATATTGTAGAAAGCTTACCCTGTTACCTCCTGGGGAAAAACTGAATGTGGAGTTTGACGATGATGGTGTGGCTATTGGTGATAATGCTTCATTATTTTCTTTCTTCTTGGGTCAACAAGTTCGAAATAAAGCTATATGTTCGGTACAAGTTAAATGTTGGGACGATTATAAATCTGAAACATTAGACCATTTGTGGGTTGCATCACGGTAATATGTTATCATAATAAACATGTTTATGGGGTTTTTCTTTCTCTTATTAACAATGAAACATTGTCAACTTGATGTATGAGCAATAATTAATTTATCTTTGTCTTTTGCAGGAGAAGTGGTCATTTGATGACCCTGAAAATAGGTGGGAGTGTGTTATGAAACATGCACAACGTTTATTCAGAGGTGCTAGGAGAAAATTGAAATCAAATTACTTTAATGATAAAAACTTGAAAACAAAAGAAGAACGTCTTAAAAATAAGCCTAGTCATCTGACTAAAGTGGAATGTAAGTTCTTGGTTGACTATTGGAGTGAAGAGGCGGTTATGGTAAAATATACAGATAGTATATCTTTATTCTTATATAATTAACGTATATTATGTATTAAATCCTTTTTATTGTAGGAGAAGAGCAAAAAAGCAAGTGAAAGTAGGGCACATCTGAAGATGCCTCACTATAATGGCACTAAAAGCTTCGGTCGCACTAGACAAGAAATAGTATGTAACAACTGCTCTTTCTAATTTTAACTTTTGATTCTTGCCATATATAGGACTACAATACTCTATGATGTCACATCAAGCCTTAATTACTACCTTTACTACATTTTATCATTTTCCAAAGAGCTCAAAAGGCTACACTAAATAAACTAATGAGACAAGCATCTGTTGCAGTTGTAAGTGGTTAGTGTTGCAGGCTGTTGTGGGTGGAGAGTGCTCCCCTGCTGTTGCTGCATTTTCTATGACCTGCACACAAGCCCTACACACTAGCCCCCTCCCTTCCTGCATACCAGCCCCTTCCCTGCCTGCACACCTGCCCCGACCCCCTCCTGCCAGATGCCACCTGCCTACACTTACCTACATCCCCTCCCTACTTGCACACCAGCCCCCCTTCCCTGGATTTCCTACATACCAACCTAGTCCTTTCATACATAACAACCCCCACTCCCTCCTACCACTTACCTGCCTGCTTTCACACTAGCCCCCCTCGCCCTAGCATTCCTGCACACCACGTCACCACCCACGCCCCCCTTCCCTGGCATTCCTGCACACCATGTCACCACCCACGCCCCCCTTCCCTAGCATTCCTGCACACCACCCACGCCCCTTTCCAGCACACACCTAATTATAATTTTTTGTTTTTTTTTTATTTTTTATTTTTTTTATTAGCTGAATTCTGAACACATGGAAAATTAAATTCTATTGTACATAACTAAATGTCATTAGCTTCCAAACCACTAAAATTTTACGAAGTAATTCTCGCACTTATTCAAAATATGCAAACGTACAATAATTAGGAGTGTAATTTGATTCTAAAAATTCTGTAATGTTTGTAGAGGAAGAAGAATGGCGGGAAGTGTTCTCGAGTTGATGTATTGGTTGCAACTCGTACAAGAAAATCTGAGAAGGCTGTGAATGCAATCAATTTGGCAATTAACACTCATGCAGTAGTAAGTTTATAAGTTTTATGTTTGTTATTTTCCATTTAACATTTACCATCTTATCTTCTAACTTAATAATGTTTATTCATAGGATGAGATAAACAAATTAAAGGAACAAAGAGAGCAAGGTCTTAATGAGAAAACAGATGAGCAAATTATTCAGGATGTGCTTGGCAAAGATACACATGGGTATTTGAAAGCATATGGACCTGGTAGAAGTATTATGCAACATTTTAAAGTAAAGCCCTCTCGAATTGATCTTACTCAAGAGGTGAATGAAGTTAAAAAGAAAGCAGATGAAGCAATTGAAGATGCAAGAAAAGAAGCTGAAAATGCTAGAACAGAAGCAGAATAGGCTAAATTAGAAGCTGAACAAGCCAAAAAAGAGGCGGAAGCTGTTAAGAATGACGTGGAAAGAAAAATTGCTGATAATAATGCAGTTTGGGAGAAGAAGTTTAGTCAACTTCTGGATTTTCTTGGAGCAGGAAGTTCATCAGATTCTGATGATTCAGGATGTCAAGGTTCAAAGGAATGAAGTAAGTAATGCTATCTTCACCGGTTATGCATTATACATTTTATCTTATATTCAATACAATTGTTACATTTTTTAAAGCTAAAGAATCTTGACCTCTTACGATTGGCTTAAAGCCTTCCTAAAACTCACATTCATTACGAATGGCTTATATTCATTACGATTGGCTTATATTCATTACGATTGGCTTATACCAACTTGATCATTTATCTATTTATTTATTGTAGGTAAAAAGGAGCGGAGCACAGACATATTGTCACATGGTATATATAGAGTATATATTGTTCTTTAGCAACATGATTTGAGTGTTCTTTTTTATTTTTTTTTTATTTTTTTTTGGGTAAGAGTGAGCTAGTGATGAGACAATGAGACAATTGATTTATAGTATGTTTGTATGTATGGATATCAAACTCAAGTATGTTTGAATGTACTGGATTCCAAGACATTAATATGATTTTTTTTAATGTTATGTATCTATTTCTGCAATGACAAATATAACATATTTGAGGAAAACTCCATCTGTAATATTCAGTTATGCTTATATCATAGATAATGCTGCAACAAATTAAAGCTTATGCCTATTGAAATTAGTAGCCACGATGATCAATAGTGTCAAGGAGATATTATTTGCCACGGTAGCAATGTGGCAATGGTTTATTTTCCACGGTATTATTTGTGGCAAACAAATAAATTAGCTACGGTATATTGCGGTGACAAAGTTTATTAGCCACGGTAATATTTGTGGCAAAGAAGATTACTGGTCACGGTAATGTTTGTGACAACCAAGTTTATTAGCCACAGTAGAATTTGTGGCGAAGAACTTGTTAGCCACATTAATATTCGTGGCAAGTGAATTTTTTTGCCACGTACATACCCGTGGCATAAAAATCGAAATTTGTCACGACATCAATTTTCCCGTTGCAAATTTCCTAGCCACGACCTCTTGTGTCACAGGAGTAAATTTCAAAATTCCCGTGGCTACACTACATTGCCACGAGAATTTTAAACTCGTGGCACAAAGGTCAATTTGTTGTAGTGTAAGCACAGTCTCCTCTTCCACTGTCCCATCGAAAGCCTTTTTCTGCCTACGGTACAGATGATCACGCCTAAGGAACCTTCGAGTCCGCACGAACACATCTTTGTGAGAATTCTTAAGGTATATGCTTGATGTCTCATCAATGCATATGGGGCATGTTTTGTTTCCTTTGACCTTGTACCCACACAAGTTGCCATATGTAGTGAAGTTATTCATGGTCCACATAAGGGCTGCATGCAATTTGAACATCTCGTTCTTATGAGCATCAAAACAAGAAACCCCTTCGACCCACATCTTTCTCAAATCGTCAATAAGTGGCGCAAGGTAAACATCTATGTCGTTTCCAGGTTGCCTAGGCCTCGTTATTAGCAGTAAAAGTATTACATACTTACGTTTCATGCACAACCAAGGAGGAAAATTGTAGATCACTAAAAGTACCGGCCATGTGCTGTGTTGGGTACTCAGAGTGCCCAATGGATTCATCCCGTCCGTGCACAACCCAAGCTTTAAAATTCTGACTTCTTCACCAAATTTCCCAAACTTCAAATCAATGTTCTTCCATTGCGGGGAGTCAGCTGGATGCTTCAACATTCTGTTTTTCTGTCTTCCCTCTACATGTCACCTCAAGTATTTAGTGTCTTTTGGTGTTGAGAATAGACGCTTAAACCTTAGAATAATCGGAAGATACCACAACACCTTAGCAGGAGGTCCCATTCGCACCTAGATTGCAACTCATGCGCTTGTAGCGCGACCGCTTGCATCGTGGACACTACTCCAATTGTTCATACTCATTTCGATAAAGGATACAATCATTAGAACATGCATGTATCTTATTATACTCCAAACCAAAGGGATACATGAGCTTCTTTGCATAGTAGTAAGACTTAGGAATTTCATTTCCATTAGGAAACATCTCACTTAATTCGATCAACAAAGCAGTAAAACTAATGTCCATCCACCCATGCTTTGACTTAATGTTAAAAAGTGTTATCACGGCGGATAGTTTGGAGTATTTTTCACACCCAGGATTATAGGTGTCATTCCAAGTGCGCCTACGTTAAAGCATGTTGTGAATATGCTTGGCACTCATAGGAAGTGGGAATTGACATTATACGATTAGGGACAAGGAAAGTAGGGAGCCGCCAACAAGTTTTTAAGGAACTTGTAAACCATTCACGGATCATAAAAGGCAACTACGATAACGGGACAACGATAGGCAACAACGATTGACCCGTGAAGGTTACACCCCATTCATAATCCATGAGATTACTAACTCCATATGGTTCGGAACCACGAAAGGAGGATCGGGGATGATGGTACGAAGTGAGTCATGGAGTCACATTCGCCTGTATTGGCCTTTACTCGATTCTTATAGTGAAAAGTGATTCTTGCGATCTCAAAGACATACAAACAAAATATTCAATTTGCTCCAAACTATTATTAAGATAAATTGGTTGAATATTAATGCAACACATAATTTTAAAATATCGTGATCACTTGATTAAACAATAAGATTAAAAGAAACCTAAACCGGTTGTCCAAATTATCTTATTAGGCGTAATTTTCAATTACATATTCCCTTTAAACATGCAATATGGTGATAAGAAATAACAATAGAATAAACATTAATATTGGAAGCAATTTAACAATAAATCCAATAATATAAAATCGTCAGAAAAAATAATAGAAATAGAAGGAACATAATTCTTAATTTGATTCTGTTTGATTGCAAATATAAAATAATAAACGAGTTAGTAACTTCAAGGAAAAATAATAAAACAATAATTAAATTAAATTAAATTAAATAGAGTGTATTTGGGGCTAAACCCTCAAACAGTTCTACCTTTCACGCCTTGGCTTAAGGACAAAACCACGAGTAAAGTATGGACTCATTAGAGTGCTTGAAGGGGGAATTTTGAAAGAAAAAGGGGTAGGCTAGTGTTTAGGCTAGAGCATAGAAGAGAGAAAAAAAAGAGTAAATTCATGCCCCATTGTAGGCGTCGCTCGAAGTGCGCCTACGTTAAAAGCATGTGTGAATATGCTTAGCACTCATAGGAAGTGGGAATTTACATTACGATTAGGGACAACGATTAGGGACAAATAAAGTAGGGAGCCGCCAACAAGTTTTTAAGGAATTTGTAAACCGTTCACGGATCATAAAAGGCAACCACGAATAAGGGACAACGATAGACAACAACGATTGACCCGTGAAGGTTACACCCCATTCATAATCCATGAGATGACTATCTCCATATGGTTCGGAACCACGAAAGGAGGATCGGGGATGATGGTACGAAGTGAGTCATTGAGTCACATTCGCCCGTATTGGCCTCTACTCGATTCTTATAGTGAAACGTGATTCCTGCGATCTCAAAGGCATGCAAACAAAGATTCAATTTGCTCCAAACTATTATTATGCTAAATTGGTTTAATATTAATGCAACACATAATTCTAAAATATTGTGATCACTTGATTAAACAACAAGATTAAAAAGGAACCTAAACCAGTTGTCCAAATTATCTTATTAGGCGTGATTTTCAATTACATATTCCCTTTAAACATGCAATATGGTGATCATAAAAACAATAGAATAACATCAATATTGGAAGCAATTTAACAATAATACTAATAGTCAAATCAAATATAAAATAACCTAATCATGATGCGAGCAATATTAAAATAAAATAAGAGTAATTAAATTAATTAATTACTTACATTTAGCACGTTCCTTTAAATTGCTACATCATGAATAAACTGTTAGTAACTTCAATAAAAAAATATAAAGTAAATGGAAATTAAATTAAATAAAAAGTAGAGTTGATTTGGTCAAAACCCTCAGTTATTTGTACCTTTCACGCCTTGGTTTAAGGACGAAACCTCGGGTTAAGTATAGACTCCTTGGAGTGCTTAGGGGAATTATTATGGAAGAATAAGGAGGCTAGAAATTAGGTTAAAGAGGGAGAAGAGAATGATTTTTGGTCTAAAGGTGAGAGAGAATGATTGTTGGTGCCCCGAACTGCAGAAAGGGGGGTCCTATTTATAGGGAAAATGAGCAGAGGGAACACGCGGAACCCTAAAAAGATAAAAACCCTAAAAAATAATACCGTGTCACGGTGACAGGCACCGTCAGACGGGGGAAGATCCCGTGACACGGGGAAAAACTGAGTGACGCTGGAAATAATTAGGTTACGGGAAGTGAAAACGCGTTTAGGGATTACGCGGAGAAAACACGGAGCAATCCCGTGGCACGGGATGTTCACCGTGACACGGGAAAAAATTCTGTGACACGGCATTGTCCACCGTGGCACAGTGCAGTATGCCGTGTCACGGTGTAAAAAGTACGCGGAAATTACACGGAATATCCCCATGTCACGGGATGGGCCCCGTGACACGGGAAATTGCACCATGACACGGTGCAAAATCCCGTGATATGGGAGAAAATTGTGCAGAAATATTAAATGGGCACCGTGTCACGGGAATCAGCCCCGTGACACGTCAGCTTTTGCCGCGTAGCGGCATTTTTGCTGCTGCGCAGTAATTTCAGTTTTTTTACCCGTTTTTAAAATAATCATAACTTTTGATCCGTAACTTGGAATAAGGAATATAATATATAATTGGAAATCTTATCAAGTCTACTTTCCAACCCAATTAGAATAAATTCAAAATAATATTTATATTTTAAGATATGGACGTTTTAGTGGAAGGGTATCGGTTTTAGGCTGAGTTTAGTGTTTTGCTCATATCTTTTTCGTTATCGCTCGGAATTGGGCTTATGATATATGGTTGGAAAGTTTTTTTAAAGTCCTATCCAACAAAAAAATAGTTGGATCAAAATTGTATATCCATAAAATCAGTTTCTCTCAGTTTTGCGATGTGGACACGAAAAGTGGAAAATAGGTTATGGTTTAGGGAAATGAGCTAGAAATTGGATTGGTTCATGAAATATAATGGATAGAACATGGATTTAAGCACTCCAAAGATTAAATACTCAAATCGACCAGTAATGGCGGTGAAAGGTGTTCATCAACGGGTTTGGTTTTGGGGAGACATTTTTAGGTGTCTACAGAAGCTCCCACTTTGACTGAG